TCAGGCCTCTGCACCCACCAGTGCTGCCAGCCAGCCGTGCTCTCAGGGCAGAGCTCTGCACGGCGGGTCCTCTTTCTATTCAGCTCTCAGGTCTCACCTCCACAGAGAGGCCGTCCCTGACCCCCTCAACTTAAAGAACACCCCATTGCTACCTGCCAAACTGTTCTGTTTCACTATATAGTGCTCGTTACTCCTGAATCATCTTGTTCCTTTTTTCATTCAGTCCACAGGGCTGCCGCATGCCGAGCTGGGGACAGCAGGAAAACAGCAGAGCCCCTGCCCTCTCTGATCTGGCTTCCGTGGGGCTGCGGACAGCAGGCCAGTACACGCGGGGACAGGAGGCATGCGGATGTGCACGGGGCACGCCACGTCCCTCGCGCTGACAGGTGGGGCGGCCAGGTGCGCTTGGTTGCCACTTGTTGACTGAACAAACTTGAGTGACTGAGCAGGGACAGCCAGGCCAGGAGCTGTGAGCTGCCTCCTCTCAGCAGCCTTGGCCTGGGAGGGCAGGGGAGGGCCACCTGCAAAGGGAGCTGTCTGTCCTCACACGCAGGGAGCTGTAGGCAGAGCCAGAGGAGACCCGGGCATCCCAGACTCGTCATTCATTCAACAGATGTTTAGCATGTGTCAGGCACGGGGCATCAGAGTGGGGAAGACAGTAAGGAAACACGCAGGTCACACGGAATGCAATGCCAGCGAACCATGACAGCAGAGATGGTGGGGAGAGCCGGGCAGGGTAGGCCTAGGAGCGGGTGTGTGTGGTTGGGATGGTGACTGTTTGCAAGAGGCTGAGGGCCAGCCTCGCTGAGAAGGTGAGATCTCCCTGCAGACTTGAAAGAGGGCTGGGAGCAGCGTGGGCTCACTGGGGAAGAGCTGCAGGCGGGGGGCATAGCCTGTGCACGGCCCGAGGACAGTGGCCTGCGGGAGGAGCAGTGAAGGGGGACGGAGGACAGGGAGGGGGGCAAGGTAAGCTGTGGGGACAGGGGAGCAACTGGGAGTGGGGGCAGAGTGAGAAGGGAGGGCCTCTGGGCCACTGTGAGGAAGTGGCCTTCCCTGTCATTGAGTCCAGAGCCTGTGGACAGTCCAGCAGTCGGACTCACACTTTCAAGGGCTTTGGGAAGAGTTGGACGGGCAAGGACAAGGGACAAGGCAGGGGGATGAGGCAGAGGCCATCAAAAGGTTAGATGACAGGCTGGGACCAGGAGCTGCTGGTGGGAAAACAAGATGGGGGTGATGGCCCCTCTCCCCAGTGAGATGGGCTTCTCCGACTCCACCAAGCCTTCCTTGCTCAGAACCCCCACCTGGGTGCGGGGGCAAGGACCACACTGACTTCCCCAGTATGGATGTGCCAGTGCAGGCCCTGCTGCCCAGGAGACCTGACAAACACCAAGGGTCGACCTGGGGGGAGGTAATTAAGAATGAATGAGCCCCCGCTGCCTGTGGCAGACACAGGGGCCCAGCAGGTAAGGGACAGCCCTGGGCCCAGGCAGAGCCTCCAGCCTTCTGAGGTGGACAGCTGAGCCATGAGCCCTGCGTCCTGCTGGGACCCTTCAGGCTTGGCTGGGCTGCAGGAGCAGCCAGGCTCCAGGAAACTTTACACTAAGGAAGGAAAGAGGGGAAGACCCAGTGAACGAGAGAGGCCCTGAGAGATCAGGGCCTGGACCAGGGGTATGAGAGGGACGGATCCAGAGTGGGATGCAGTTTGCCCAAGGCCACACAGCAAACCAGTGGTGACCACACACCATTCTTGCATCTGTCAGTTCCAAAAGGCAGGGACATTTATCTGTTTCACTAGTGTGTCCCCAGCACTGAAAATAGTGCCTGGCACATAGTAGATGCTCAGCAAACATTAGTTGAATGAGTCGATCTGTAATATGGGCTGATTATAGAGCTACTGCCTAGGTGGTTGTGAGGCTCAGATGATACTGCGTGGAGCTGGTGCCAGGCCCCTAGTGGGCCCTTAGCAGGTAGGAGCTGTTCTGGGTTTATTCTGACTTCTGGCTAGGGCACTTTCTGTCAGGTCCAGGGACTGGGGGAGGCCTTGGGGGAAGGAGATACCTGCAGGGAGCTAGAGTTGATAACAGCTTTGGGCCGACTGGTTTTCCAGCTTCTGTGATTGGCAGAGCCCAGGAACCAGAGAAGAGCCTGGAGCCTCCCCGCTCTCCCCAGCCTAGAAGCTCAGGCTTCTAGATCCCAACTGAGCCTGGGGTTGCCCTCCAGCAACTCAGGCCCCAGCAGCCAGAGCAGACATGGCAGAAACAGAGGGAGCATGAGGTGGCTCCTGGGCCCCAGGACCCTGCAGGAGGGTAGTCAAGGGCTTTGAGGGCTGTGTGCTCCTCGTCCCTTCTCAGTCTGCCACAGCTGGGGATCCGGACACCTCATTCCCACCCACCAACCACTAGCGCTCCTGCCCAGGAGGGTCAGCCGCCTGACTCCATCCCCCCCAGACCCAGGGCCTTGGACAGCTCCAGCCCAGCTCCTGCCAGCCCCCTTGCTACAGGCATCATAGAGGGAGGGTACCCACAGAGGCAGCAGCCTCCGGGGTCACTGTGGCAAGTCCCCTGCTTCTGGGAAGATTTGGCCCAATGAACCGGGAAAGACTAGAGGAAAGGTGGGGTGTGTGCAGTTTTCCTGCAACTTCAAGCTCTTTCTAACACCCCAAGGTATAGCCCTGGCATTAGCTAGGCCATCCCCTAATGCTGCCCAGCCTTCCAGCTTCTCTGCAGCTTGTCACTGTCAAGGCCACCCACAGCCTCCCTGGGCAGGATCAAGTTTCCCACCCATAGGTATGGGAGCCTTTCCTCCCTTGCTGGAGAGACTGAGCCCTTGTGAATAATTCACAGCAATTCACAGCAGGCCTGGGAGGCTCATGAGAACACCAAGCCTGGGCTGCCTGGGTCCTCTGATTGGGCCCTGTGGCCTGGGACAGCCCAAGTCCCTGCCCTCCCCAGCTCCCAGCCCTGGTGTCCACAGCCATGAAGAGCGTGGGGAGGAGTCTCCACCCCAAAGTAGGAAACTAAGTGTGCACACCAGCCCCGGACCCCAATTCCCAGCCACCCCCTCCTGCCTGAGCCCAGCCTGGCAACCACCCAAAAGTGCCTCCTTATCAGCCCAGCCCCACGTTGCTGCAGGGAATGGAGCCCAAGCCTCTGTCCACCTCCCTGAGATTCATGACTCCTGGGGGGCTGGTGGCTCATCAGCCCAGGCCATCTGGCCATGGAGTTGGCACCAGGGCCCAACCATGCCCAGCACCTGCTATGGCCTTAAGGCGGTCAGAGTCCCCAAGGCCCAAAGCCCATGAGGGTTTTCCATGGCACAGCCAGAGTCCTTTTAAGGCCTGTCCTCCCAGCTGGTTGCGGGATCATGGCTCGTCCTAGGCCCTGGCTTCTCAGTGGGAGGGCTCATGGGCCAGCGTTCCTCATCAGCACTTGCAGGGGGTGGGCTGGGAGCCCTCCCAGTTCACGCTGCTGGGCTATGCTGGACCTGCCATCAGCCCAGCCTTCTGGGGCACACCATGAGCGATGGGGCAGCTGGCAGGGGTGGGAGGGCCTCCTTCCTTTGCTCGAAGTGAGGGGGTGGGATGGATGCATCCGATTCGCCAACTGGGGTGGGGACATGTCACAGGGGCCGCTCCCAGGCCCCAACCTGGACAGTCTTACTCAGGAGTCCAGGACAAAGCCTTCCACAGGTACTGACCAGTACCAGGTCAGGACCCTGCACTCAAGGGTCTCTGGGGCCTTCCTACTCTAAATCCCACTGACTTTGACATGACCCAAACCCTAGCTTGTCTGGAAGCAGAGAGACATGCCAAAGCAGCCACCAAGTGGCCCCTGGTAGGAACCCCAGGTACAGTACCTGCTGGGTCTCCTACTAACCAAACCAGGGAACCCCTTGCTTCATAAGGACAGAACCAGCTCACCCTGTCCTGGGCTGAGGGGACAACTGGAGCCCAGCCTGGTGGGTCTCAGGGCCAGCCTACATCCATGCCAGAATACCTGGGCCCAGGAGGCTGCCAGCTACAGCCACCCTGCCATAGGGCCATGTGGCTGGACTGGCCTCCAGCCTGTTCCCTGGTGGCCAGTAGCCTTGCAGGTGTCCTCAGGAATGGAGCAGTGGTGGGGACAGGCCACGCCTTCCCACTTGTAGCTCCTCTCCTCCCAAGGCGGGGTCCACTTTCGTGGCTTATGTTCCAGGCACCTACTCAGACCGACGAGGTCAGTGGTCAGAGCCCCCACCCGGCTCAGGCACTGGTGTCCCACTCCCTCAGACAGGGTCTGGGCAACTTTCCTCCAGGACCCCTGCCTCCTCCTCCCCCAGACTCCCATACTCAGCCCCATTCTTCCACATGCCCCCACCCCGCCCAGGGAGCTCCCAGCCCATCACTTCCTCAGACCAGCCACTCAGGCTGAGAGCCCTGGGAGGTCTGGGAGCCCTGCCCCCACCTTGGTAGTGGGAAAGGGCAGAGGGGCCACAAGAAGGACACGTTCTGTGTGGCCTAGCCAGCGGCTAAGGGCCGGGGGGGGGAGTGTCTGGGAGGGGCACCTGTCTCCCTTAACTGCTTGATGACTGATGTGGTTCCTGCTCCAAGGGGCCTAAGGGGTGCCCCTGCCCCTGCCAGCCCCCACCTCACGTAGAACTGTCTTGCAGATGAGAACAGCCAGAGCTAGAGGGCCACCTGCTATAGTCTGCTGTGTCCTGGGGGGAGCACATGCTCTCGGCCTTTGTGCCCGGCCTCCCAAGCCCAGTGCATGCTGCCAGGGCTGCTGAGGACTCGGGGGGGCACTGCTTGCAGGCTCTGGAGCTGGTAGCTGTGGGCAGCCCCTGAAGGAGAGACACTCCAGCTTGGGTAGGAGCTCTCTCTGGCCTAGCCCTCTGGCCACTAGGATGGCCACTGGAGGAGTCACTCACCCAGAATGCTGGAGACATGCTGCAGACCCCAGGCATCCCCCAGAGCCCTGGCCCACCCCACTCAGAGGCTTCCTCAAGAGGGGTGTCCTTACTCAGGGTAGTGCCTGATGAGAAGCCTCAGGGAGGGGAAGTCTCCTTTGGCGGCAGCATAGTGGACAGGCAGGGCGCCCATGTCTGTGGCCACGGTGGGGTCCCCACCGCCATGATGCAGCAGCCAGTTCACCACCTCGGGGTGGCCGAAGCGGGCAGCCAGATGCAGAACTGTGGCACCAGAATTGTCTTTGTCCTATGGGAGAAGAGCCAGTTAAAGTCCTAAAGCTTTGAGTTGCCCCCCCTTCCCCAAGGCTTGGGCCACTCCCAGCATCCCACCAGCCAGGGGACAGTTCTGTCCCCTCTGCCCTCCCTGGAGGGGGTGGCCAGGCCTCACTCAGCAATGTTCCCTGGGGTTGAGCTGATCCTGGGAGTTCAAATTGTTTCTGTCCTCAAGCAACTAATTGGCCCTCTCTGAACCTCAGTCCATAAGCAGCGCCACTAGGCTGGGATTTTGGAGGCCTGCGGGTCATGATTGCAAAGTGCCCGCACACAGTAGGCTCTCAGGATGGGGCACCCTTGTTGTCATAGCTGGAGACCTGGCTCCAGGCCTAGGGCTACAGCCCCTAACACCCAGGGACACAGGGAATGCCTGAATAAGTGTCACTGGGTGGAGCAGGGCCAGGAAGGGTAGGCTGTAGGGGCTGCACAGGCTGGCATCAGGATTGTTGGGGGCACCCCCTGCATCCAACCCTTGCCCCTCCCTCTTCCCCCTCCCCAGGTGTCACGTGGGAACAGAGGCTCCACCTTGGTGCATCTCTAACAACCCACCCTCAGTGCAGAAAACTGCCTCTCAGCAGACTTCCCTGTTCCCGGCCACAGGAACAGGCTGTGTGTCCTTGCCCCTGTGGAGGGGGAGGTTTCTGGGTACTGGTGGGCAGGAACTGGGGCAGTCAGCCAGTGGTGGTAGGTGCGGACTAGTGGCAGCCCCTAGGAGGGGCTTGGGCAAGACACCCCCACCCCAGAGGGAACGGGGCCAGAGGTCTGGGTCCAGAACTGCTGAATGGGTCATCTGTGCACACCCCATCATGTGTGTCTGTTGGGCAAGGGGCCAGCAGCGGGGGCTGCTTATGGGACTTGGGCAAGGAAGAGAATCACCGAGAAGCCAGACGTCTGACTCAGAGGCTGGTGCATTTGGGAAAGTGGGCACCAGTCTTAGAACAGAACAACCTCCCAGCACAGAGGACAACAGAGAGGTGGGCCGGGACAGGGGAAGGGGCTGGGGCAGCAGTGAGGGGTGGACACAGTTCACTAGGGTCATGGAAATGAAGCCTCTCAGCCCTGCCTTGCCCAGCGAGAGGGCACTGTGGGGACAGATGTGGCCAAGGCAGTGGGAACTGGTGAGAGACCCAGAGCTTGAAGGAAAGTGAATCTCGGTGGGAAGAGAACCTCTGAGGACCCAATAAAAAATGCAAAGAAAAGGGGACACAGAGGGTACTGGGGGGCCACAGGGCATGAGTGGTAAGTCATTTGTCAGACTGTGGGGATGGGGACAGCACACTGGCTGTCCCCTAACTAGTCATGGAAGAGGATGGGGTGGAGAATAAGTGGCCAATAGGAAGCCAAGGACCATGCCGAGGCCCCTCCCGTAAGCCCAGGGGGGACCAGGGACTGGTTCAGTCTGTCCCCCTGAGCCTCCTGGCTAGAGGTGATCCAAGCAGGACCATGATGACATATGTCCTGACCCCCAGCTCTTGAGAAGAGCCCTCCTTCCACTGGGCCTTGGGGACTGTGGGTCTGAGGTTTCCTGGGGTCCTGAGGGCTCTGGGTCTCTGGGTGGTGGTGGCAGTCAGGAAAGGGCCTAGGCCTATGGGCTCCGGCCTGTCCCCGAGGAACCAATAGCTGTGTAGGGCCAGGAGCCTCGCATGCTGTGACCCGTACCCTAAAGCTGCTTATCTCCCAGGGATGGAGGTCATTCCCTCCCACCTGCTGGGGCTGGAGGGCGGGAGACTTGATAAGCTGGGCACAAGGCCACTTGCTTCTTCCAGTTCCTCTGCAGTGGCAAGGAAGGCCTCTGGCCAGGGCTGGACACTGGGATCAGGGAGTCATGCCACCTCCCAAAGAGTGGGCATGGGCTACATGGCCAAGAGCTCCTGATAACAGGGCCTGCGAGGAGATAAGGGGCATCTCCCAGGAAGGGTGCGGGGTGGGTCTGGCCATCTTGAGGACACAGCAAGCCAGCTTAGAGCTGCCCGTGCCTCCTCCCCTTCCATCTCCAGTTAACCTCTGGTCTTCCTAAGCAGAAAGTCAATTCTGGTTCCTCCCTCCGTTGGCTACCCCCAGAATACCACCCAAATCCCTAGCCTCAGCTTACGAGACCCTCTGGGCTGGCCCTGGCAGTTTCTGCCACGCTCCCCCCCCCCCCCCCCCCCCCCCCCCCCCCCCCCCCCCCCCCCCCCCCC